AGGTGTTTCAACAAAAACAAACGTGAACTGGCTGAATGGAACCCGCCAATTAGTTTATCTTTTTAGGATAAAAGCCGGATGGTAAAGTTAGGATACTAACTGAAAGTCGTTACTGCAATGTTATTTCAAGAATTTCATTGTCAACTAAGTACACTTCGTATACCTAAAATAGACACTTTTTCAGGTTAACTGTGTTCACTCGAGTATAGGAGAGATCGGAGTTTAAAATAAAAAATAAAAAATAAAAAATACTTTTCATAGATCAGAAAAATTCAAGCCTTTCTAAACGGAGGAAATTTATTTAAAAGTCACAATATGGAATATCGAATCAAAAGGTTCCCCCTCGATAAAACGCTGAAAATCTACAGATTTCAAATATTAAGCCATGAAAATATAAATTATAGAAGCTTAAGCAATAAGTCAAAAAATAAAATAAAATTTGGCAAATGTTACGATCGAACAAAATACACTAATAACCAGCAAAACCTCCCAGAAATCCATATATACTTAACAATAACTTCAATGATAAAAATAAAAAACTACAAATATACAAAGACCCCAGACGAAGACGAATTTTAGACCACTAATATAAGTGCATACGTCAAATAAGAAGAAACAAATTAGAACTTATCACCCCAGATAATTTAATATAATTTTCTCTCATGATGCCCTTCTTCCCGAAAGATTTTCTCATCCGTCGTTTGATGTGCCAGTTCTCTTATTGAAGCTGTGCTGTTTCAGCTTCTTATAAACATGTTTTGTTCGACACTGGTGTCATATAGATTGTGTGCATATTCGCAGGTGTGAACGTGTTCACCAGTTTTGACTTCCAAAGAGCCCGGTCAGACCCGAAAGAACCTGCCTACCGGATCCTCTGTGGCCGTTATACTTGGATACAAGTGGACATTATTGTAAGATCGGACTGGTCCTCTTCTCGGTATATTGTACCCGTCCGCTTACGCTTGTCAGGGCTTCAGCTTCATTTTCTCGGGCCATTACCGCTTCCAACTTGTCTTCGTTCACTATCTGGCCACCCTCTCTCAGAATCATACTTTTGCGTTTCGATCCCCCCATCAGCCGTCCTCTTCGTCAGCTCGTCTTCCAGCCCCGAGCTCATTGGTCCCCTCGCACCAACGTCCAGGACGTCCTCCATCGCCATAACCTTTTGCCGTCGTTCATAATCAAATAGCCCCGGTTTCCAGGGCCACATATGAGCCAAAAAGTAACCTGAGGCTGGGTTCCATCAGTCTCGTTTGACTGACTACATGCACTCTTGACGAGTTATGGTCAGACAGACCGCAAACTCATGCCCCCACATACATGATGTTTTATCATCGACCGAGATAGCGGTTTCAGCGTAAGTAGGGCCCAGTTACATGCAGATCTCTCAGGCACATGTATTCTTGTAGGTGAGCTCCGAAATGCCCTTTTCTTTCATTTTATACGCCTATTCAAATTGGTTAGCCTAACTTTATTGATGTTTTATGCCACAGAGAAGGATCAGAACTTAAGAAGACCGTAAAGTCTCCCTCATGTTGCCAATGGTTGAAGCGTAATCTAGCCATACCTTGCCGCTCAAAAGGTCGTCCCATTAAAATGCTTTCCAGCGATACTTTAAGTATGGATAGAGCAATTAAGAGAAACCGGCCTAATCACCGCACTAAAGAATAGGCTGTATGAAAAGAAGAACTATTCATACTAGATTAGGACTTGTAGTCCCCTGAAGGAATAAAGGACTGATAAAAAACTTTTTCCATCGAATCTTACATAGTCGGATAATATCGAGTATCTTTTTGGAAAGCAAAGTAGTGGGAAATCAGATGGAAACTTATGGTCTACTCACATCATTGTGGGAAATTTTATCTACCTTTTTCATTTTAAAGGAAATAGGGTGAATACGCCTTATATATAATCTCGATATATCACCACTACTCCATATTACCACAAGTGCTCAGGGGTCACAGGACATATGAAAGAACAAGCCTCTCTCATATCGTTTATGAGGTGGGCAAGCTCGCATTTTGCCTCTGAAATCAACTACATTACTTATATTTCTTAAAAGTAGGTGTCGAAACTATCCGTTAATCTTGAATATAGGTTCTCGTCGCCCAAGGTCGCATAAAGTGAAGAATAAAGGATAGTCAAACATTCCCCCAATCATATGAGTAGGCGTCAAGTTTCCATTGTGGAAAAATTCTACTCTTAGTTCTTCATTACATAATACAGCCTAATATGTCTTAAACACTTATTCAAGATTTTCTGATACTCTCGAAACATTGTTTATATGAAAAATTGTACCCAATTTATAGGTAAAAAGATAGGAGGGTGCTGAGCCGATCAAGAAGGAAAACGATTCAGTTAGGCTCTTTTGTTAGGGTTTCGGTAGCCTTCTCAAAGTTTCGTCATATTAACTTTTATAAAAGAGGCCATACGAAGAAAGGTTAGTCTAAGACAGTGGTTCCCAAACCTTTCCTAGCCACGGCGCCCTTTTTCAATTAAAATTTTTTCATGGCGCCCTACCCTAAGCATGACTATTCATAAGTAAGAAATAAAAATAAATAAAACTCGTCTATCTTCATTATTTTCTCAATTTTATTAACATTAAATTAATATTTAATAATTAATGTGATGGATGAGCCTGCAAATCACTGCACCTTTTCTCAAATCGTGGAAGTAAACTGGACGCAGCCACCCTCATTTCCTTTTCCACGTTGATTTTTGCTCTATACTTGCTTTTTATTACAGCGACCGCCTAAAACCCAGCTTCGCACAAATAAGACGTCGAAAATGGAATTAGAAACCAAACTCTAAATAACTGTCATCATATTTACGATATTTTCGTTTCTTCACACTAGTGCCACTGGTTAAAGGTATACTTCCTTTATCTGCACTATTACGTTTATAACTGTTCAAAAATAGGTCCATTATCAAACATACAAGAGCCAAATACAACAAACAAGAAGCAATATAACACAAACTAAATTAAAATATGAATTCATATACTAATTTATGTCACTGTTTATTTATACATGAAGCGCTGAGTTTAACTTCACTAGACTCAAATTATAAGTCGACTGATTTAATCGAGCCCGCAACACTTGCTTATATACTTTCCGCAAGATTTTCCAGAACATTCCAAATCTGTCGCGAAGGTTCTACGCACCTCGACGTGTCTAGTGCAATCATATGGCGCAGCGTTTACTTTCACGTTTTGTTTAGTTAGGCCAAATGTCTGGGTTAAATTAATTATAAAGCTTTTACAAAATTTCGCGGCTCCCCGTGGCCCCGCGGTGCCTCAGTTTGAGAATCACTGGTTTAAGAGGTTCCTCTGGATTTATGGCCTGTCAGCTCAATTCCATTTCGAGCAAAAGTGTGTTAAGAAGAGATTCCAAGGTGGATACCATGAGAAGGTAAAGGCAAGTATTTTTACTCCATAGCTTGAATTAATAATAAGAATATGATCTGCTTTTAGTGTGTAGAGAAATTGGTTTTCGAAGAGCCCCTTAATAGATTGATGTTGGACCATCTTTCGTTTTGTCTGGAGAGGCTAGCAAAAGGTATTCGTATGTTGGTCTCACCGGTTGTCGAAGGCAGGCTGCCTAGAAGG